GAGAGAGAGAGAGCGAGAGCGAGGGGGAGAGATAAATGGGGCTTTCCTTGGATAAAGACGACCCAATCTTTGTAGGTCAGGGAGGGAGGGGAAAGAGGAAGAAGGGGGAAAAAAAAGAGAGGAATATTTGAAGGGTGGATTGGTGGAGCGAATCCACAGCTACAGCCCAGAAGTTTGAAACTAGCAAAATAGTTTTGTGAAGCTTCTTCTCCACTAACATTATACTGCAAACTAGAGCATGCAAAACCTTTGCCAGACCAATTCTCGAATACAGCTCGTCTGCCTGGAATCCACACTGTATTTCGGACATTAATACAATCGAGCGAGCCCAGCGGTATTTCACAAGAAGAGTCCTCCACTCCTCTGCTCACGACAGAATCCCTTAGGCCACCAGGCTCGAAATTTTGGGCTTGGAGAACCTAGAACTCCACCTAAGCGTAGTACCCAAAATTATCTGCTACAATGTCCTACCTGTCAATGACTTCTTCAGCTTCAACCTCAATAATACACGGGCAAACAATCGATAGAAACTCAAGATCAACCGCTCCAAACTCGATTGCAGAAAATACGACTTCAGCAACAGAGTGGTCAATGCCTGGAATGCTCTACCTGACTCCGTTGTTACATCCTCAAATCCCCCACAGCTTCAACCTCAAACTGTCTACGTGGACCTCACCCCATTCCTAAGAGGTCCATAAAGGGGGCATGTATAAGCGCACCAATGTCCGTCCCCATCCTACTGTCCCCATTTATCTGTATTTACTTCCTTTGTTCATGTTTACGTTCTTACCTATGCTTGTTACCTTGTACATGTTTGACAAACAAACAAATAAATGTATTAGCACCAAAAAAAGCCACCCACCTCTATAGAAGAAATTCTGAAGGAAATGCTAAAGCTTTCTGAAAAACTGAGCTTATTTTGCGAGGAGGACTACAAGACCAATTTGGGGCAAGATTCTGTCGGTAAGGCATGAGTGGCCAGAGATGGTGAGGCTAATCTAACAGCAGCAATGATACTTTTGCAAATAACTTAATAGTGGTAGTAATGGCCACAGCAGTTTTATTCAAAAGAAGGATGTTCATGCCACTGTGATTTTAAATCACTGCATGCTTGCTTGAGTTCCTAGAAAGAAGAGTGGGGGGAAAAAGGATCTGAAAAATTTAAATATGTGTTGCTCACGATTGCTCCCCTCGAAAAGGGGATCAGATCTCAGAGCTTTCAGAGATCCAGGAATCCTTGCAAGATCCTCTCTGTATTTCTTTAGGAGACAACGGTCTCCATGGCCAGGAACAACGTCAATAGCATCCCCCTCTATTTCTGAAAGGAGGGCGATCAATTTTTTTCTCCCTTCTGCTCATCCAAAGCTACGGCTATAAATGTCTAGAAACTGATCAGTTATGACCTTGAGGAGAAGGAGCCAATGTCATTAGCCACCGTGGCAGAGGAAGGAAGTTCTCTCTCTCTCTCCTCTCTCCCTGTCTCTCTTTACCTCCCTCTCTTTCTCCCACTTTCTCCCTTTCTTCTCCTTCTTGCTTTTCCTTTCCCACTTTTTCTCTCTCCCTCCTTCTCTCCCTCTCTTTCTTTTTCCCTCTCCCTGTTTCTCTCCCTCTGTCTTTGCCTTTCTCCCTCTCTCTCTCCCTCTCTCCCTTCCCTCTTCCTCTTTCTCTCTCTCCTTCCTATTTCTCTGTCCCTCTCCCTCTTTCCCCCTCCCTCCCCTCCCTCCCTCTCTCACTCTCTACCACCCTCTTTCTTTCTCTCTCTCTCTTTCCCTTTCTCTTTCTCTCTTCCTCCTTCTCTCCTCTCCCTCCTCTCTCCCTCTCTTTCCCCCCTGTTCATCTCAAGTCTGGCCAAGCACCATGACAGAGTTTGAGATGATCCACAAGCAGAACAGTGGTTGTAGTTGTTAGTTGCAAAGTCTTGTCCGACCCATCGCGACCTCATGGACAACGTTCCTCCAGGACGTCCTGTCCTCTACCATCCCCCGGAGTCCATTTAAGCTCACGCCGACTGCTTTGGTGACTCCATCCAGCCACCGCCTTCTCTGCTGTCCCCTTCTTCTTTTGCCCTCCATCTTTCCCAGTTTTAGGCTCTTCTCCAGGGAGTCCTTTTTTCCCACCCAACTCCAGGGGAAGGACACTGCAAAATCCCCATTTCGTCCTGATGTGCTGGAACTCTGGAGGCAGATAATAGATGGGGACGGGACCAGTCAGAGATGGTATTTACCGGTTCTCCGAACTACTTAAAATTTCCACTAGTAGTTCTCCAGAAATGGTCAGAACCTGCTGAATACCACCTCTGAGTCCATGGGACTCACAGGAGTCCTCACCAGCACCAGAATTCAAAGCCCTCAAATGTTTTTTGTACCACTGTGCCAAAGAACAGTAATACAACAGCAAAAGAGCTCAATGGCTTCAGAAGTTGGCCACTGTCTGGTTCTAAGCAAAAATACATGCCGAAGTTCTCCCAAGTAGTTTCCTTCATTGCTTCTCACCTCTGGACAGAATCTTGTCAGAGTAAAGTAGACGACTTCCACCTTTTAACATACACTCCGGGAACTTATTAACGAGGGGCCGCCTTAACTCTTTTCCTCCCAACCAAGCTATCTAAACTTTGCTGTCTCCTGGTCCTCTGGAATGCAGCCCCTCCCTCCCTGCTGGGAATCCAGACTACATTCCACCACACTCACACACGGAGCCCAGGGATTTATTTTTCGGCCAGTTTTCAGTTGTTTTCATGAGCATTCAAGGACCACCTTCGAAAAGGCAGACAGGTGACACACAGTAGCTTTCCCTAAGCCATCCATGTCACCCAAACCCCAGCAATGAGTAGCCAATGAATCATGGCAGGATCTTAAAATAAAGAAGTACTTTGAGAAGGCGGTGCCCACATTCTGGTAAATGCAATTTCCCTGCCTTAATGAAATGCTAATTGCTAAGAAAATTCAGAAGCCTCTTCGGGAACATTCTAATTAAATTTCCCACTTTCCCTCCACCCTACGAAGCCTTCCATGACCCTGGGAAGAAAAAAAAGATAGAGAGAAACAATCTTGGAACGAAGGTGCTTTGGAACATATTCTCTTTCTCGTCTTCTCCAGAAGGAATTCTCTGATTGGAAGAATTCCCCATCACCAAATTAACACAGTGATAATATGTAGCCAAGAGCAAAAAATAATAATAATAATAATATGAAAATTAAAAAAAAATAAAAATTGATGGGCCCAGAGCTATCAACTGGCAATTAAAACACATGGGTTGTAAGAGCCATAAACAAACAACTATCATTAAAATATCCTCATAATCATATTAAAAAAGTGGGGGGGAGGAATCAGTTGAATACAGCTATGGAGAGAGAGGAGAATGGTGATCAGCTCTAAACTAAGTGTAACTTTGCAATCAGGAACTACGAAGTAGGATGCCCTGACCCAACCAGTACTTTCCAACTCTCTCTTGAGAATTCTTGTTACATTCCTTCTTTGTGAATGCTGAATTTGAGGTGGTTTGTGTTGTTTTAGGGAGTTGTCATTATTATATGTATATACAATGTAAAAAAGATGTGGAGACTCTAGAAAGAGTGCAGAGAAAAGCAACAAAGAGGATTTAGGGGACTGGAAGCTAAAACATATGAAGAACAGTTGCAGGAACTGCGTATGTCTAGTTTGATGAAAAGAAGGACTAGGGGAGACATGATATCAGTCTTCCAATATCTCAGGGGCTGCCAAGAAGAAGAAGGAGTCAAGCTATTCTACAAAGCACCTGAAGGCAGGACAAGAAGCAATGTGTGGAAACTGATCAAGGAGAGAAGCAAGTTCGAACTAAGGAGAAAGTTCCTGCCGGTGAGAACAATTAATCAGTGGAGCAACTTGCCTCCAGAAGTTGTGAATGCTCCAACACTGGACGTTTTTAAGATGATGCTGGATAAGCATTGTCTGAAGTGGTGTAGGGTTTCCTGCCTAAGCAGGAGGTTGGACTAGAAGACCTTCAAGGTCCCATCCAACTCTGTTATTCTATTATATCTCTTCTGGTTTGGCTAAAAAATATGAGAAACAGTTGCAGGAACTGGGTAGGTCTA